ATTTTTTATTACAGTATTTGTGAGGGACCAACATGAGGTTGGTTCCAACGTGAGGTTAATTAGTATTTAAAGTATGCCAGTGATTAATAATCATAAAAAATACTAATTGACCTCACGTTGGACTCCCTCACAGTATTTATAATTTTTAATGCCTTATAATGATATAATTTTTGCGTAATTTAATGATTTATCAAGCTATGTCAATCTTGTGATCTCGACATTTTTTTGCCATGACTAACCTATCTGAGATAAAGCACCCTGGTGAATTTCACCTTCGATGAACGTTAAATTCGTCCAAAACAGGATTTAACACTGGTTTGGGATTTGGAAATAGGTTTAGAATTTAACGACTTTCCTTAAAAATAATCCCAAACTCCAGGTTGCACGAAATCTCAATTTCTGCATTTACGTATATTCATGTGATAAGGTTTCACAACATTTTTTGTTTACAAATACAGATATAATATAAAAATTCTATATCGATATTCCCATCCTCGTCGAAATGATTAAGTTACCATATGAATGTTTTTTCGAAATATTTAATAACTTTCAGAATCAGAAAGATTATAAAAATTTATTTTCATGCCTTCTTGTAAATCGTCAATGGTGCAGAATTATTGTACCAATATTATGGAGCAAACCAACAGATTATTCCAGCGATAAAAGACTTATAAGAATATACCTTTTAACATTAAACGTAAAAGAACAATCACTATTGATCCCTTTTCAAATCGTACTTCCAAATTATCAAAAACCATTATTTGAGTACTCAAATTATACAACGTTTGTTGGTGGATATTTGTCCGAAGGTGTTGAAAATTGGCTTGATGATGAAGGATTTGGAGCGGATATACCTCGTAAATTTCGTCGTCCTCGATATTCTTCTGCTTCAAATTATTTCAAGTATTATGAAGATAATGAAGATTTCTCTATAAGAGCTGTTGAATGTTCTTTGGTTGCAATGTTTTTACGTACAAGTAAAAAGCTTAAAGAACTATCACTTTTCAGAACTATTATTAATAAAGTAATAATTGAAAATCTTTGTACAAATACTACTATAATCGATTTAACTTTCAACGAGATTTATTTTAATTCCGATGAAATAAGAGGTTTAATGGAAATTATTAGCAAAAATTCTACTATAGCTTCATTGGATCTTTCAGACAATTTTCTTGATTTTGAGGAAGGGAAATTATTATCAGAAGCTATTAATAAGAATACAGCTTTAACTTCTTTGCGTTTTCTTGAAAATGAACCTAATTTAAAGGGCTTAGATGCATTAGTAGGATGCCTTTATAAAAATTCAACTTTGACTTCTCTGGATATTAGTGATAATAGTATTGGAATTGAAGGAATGAAAGTATTAGCAAAATCTCTTTGCACAAATACTACCTTAATTTCTTTAGATATTTCTTTTAATCAATTTGGTTCTGAAGAAGCGAAAATATTAGCAGGAGCACTTTGTGTTAACACTGCTCTGGTTACTTTAATGATTAATCATAATCGAATTGGTCCTGAAGGTGGAAAAGCATTAGCGGAAGCTCTTCGTAAAAACACTACTTTAACTAATTTAAAAATTAGCGGTAATAAAATTCAAGATGGTGGAAAATCATTAGGAGAGGCTATTTACCTAAATACTGCATTAACTTTCTTAGATCTTTCTGATAACGAACTTATTTCTGAGGATGTGAAAACGCTAGCAGAAGCTCTTTGCATAAACACTACTTTAACGTCCTTAGATATTAGTAATAATGAAATTGGTTTTAAAGGAGGAAAAGCAATGGCAAAGTCACTTTGTAAAAACAAAACCTTGACTTACTTAGATTTTAGCTATAATAATATTGGATTTAAAGGAGGAGAAGCATTAGCAGAAGCTCTTTATTTCAATACTACTCTGACTTCTTTAAATATTAGCAATAATAATGTTGGATTAGAAGGGCGAAAAATCATTGCGGAGGCTTTCCGTAAAAATATTACATTAACCTCCTTAGATTTTTATGGCAATAATTTTAATTATAAAAATATAAGTAATTTCATATAAAGTAATTTCATTTCGAGAAAAAAATGCAGTATTATTAACGTCAGCATTGATTATAACATTTATTCTTGTTTAAACTTATTATTTTTGTTTAAATATGTAAAGTTGTTGCTTGCATTTAATAAAATTTACAAAACTTGCGGAAGTTTGAATACTTGATTCAAATAAATTGACTAAATTAATATAATTTATTAATGATTAGGAATTCAAAATTTTGAGTTTGGAATGATTTACGAGAGTTCAATTGAAAATATTTAATAACATTGTTACAAGCATTTCTAAATTCTTCGAAAATTACTTTAATAATGAAACAAATGTTTGCACCAGAATATTTTGATACGATTTTTAGATTTCTTCCGACTAATAAAGATCTGGCTACTTATACCATCCTGATAAGGAACCTTTGCAGTTGAAAAGGCCGATACTCGGAAATATGTAATTTCGAGAAAATATAGTTTGTTTTGTTCGAGCTGATCGTGATTTACGAGACTTCTAAAAAAATTTTTTTTAAAATATCTCGGTTTCTCATTATGCAAATCAACTTCATTTGTAATGGAGTAGTTCGCTTCAAAAATTTATTCGAATCTTGCAAAAGCTCATTCTTGATTTCCGGAGTAGTATGGACCTTTTTATTGCGGAGACTTCATAATGACAAGTAGTGTATTTCCTCGATCATTGATCGATTGGGCTTGATGATCGAGCACGATGTTATAAGCTCGATCAAAAGTAAGTCAATTAATGATCGATTATGTTAAACGATTAAATGTTTAAAATTTGATCGATTAAGAAAATCTCTAAAAAAAATTATTTACGGGATATCATTATAAAATGCTGTAATTATGTATGCTCGAGCAAATAAATTACATGTTTGATCGATCATACTCAATTAAACATATATAATTGAATTTTGATCGATTCAAAAAAAAAATTTTTCTATCATCATTGATCAACGATTTTTTTGACGAGTCAATCCCCTCCCTAATGACAAGAATATTCCATCTCCTAAAATAATCCAAACCTACTTTTCGCAAATTAGGATTAAATGAAAGAACTATCCATCACTCTTGAGGAGCTTTCATATGATCAATTCCTTAATTTATCTATAACACTGTAGCAAATAATTTCTGTAAAATAATTGAATTATTCAAAATTACACCGATCTAATATCTATAATTGTCTTAATTATCGTTCTGAAAATTTACATAATCTAGGATGGTTGATTCTTTCTCATTTTTTCTGATTGCACCTTTATAATTAGTAGGTTGATTTATTATAATTGTAGCCATTAACGACCAGTATTAAAATCACAACCTTTTAATGCAATAGTGAATTATAACATAATACTGTATCAAAATCTTAAAGTCAGTATTTATGAAAAATAAATCCATTCTCAAAAGAATAAGCAGTAATAAATAGTCAAAAAACACTCACTTAACAGTTAGCATTACAACCGTAGCTTAAGCAAGGCAAAGTTTTTAATTATGTTATTTGTTAATTAAAACAATGCTATAGATATACTGGTTCAATTTACAAAAATCAACAAAGTGATGTTTAAACACTGAAGAGCTCAATTCTCCTGTCCGAATTTAACATCATTACGGTAATTAATACTTATGATAGCGAAACCCCCTATTATCATAAATTATTATCTGGTCTCATTAAGTTGCAATACACTTATTGTATTGTCGCACATGGGCGTTATTTAGAGTTTTGGCCCGAATTAAGTTTAATTTAGGCCGAAATTTGTAATTTCACCCCTGCGCGTTATTTCGCGACAATACGGTAAAAGAATTATACTTGACTGGCATTCTCGTGATTATCTTTGATATTACCTAACTTGTCGAGATTATTTCACAACATATTATAATCATCGAGTATTTAAAAATTTCAAATTCAATCAATTAAATTAGATCTTTGATTCTGTTTCTACATACAGTGAGTAATCGGATTGTTGGGTTTGTTTTTGTCTATGCAATTATTCAAACCCTTCACTAGAAAAAAAAAGAGCAGCTTTTAAGAAACTGTCCAAGGCTTAGAATCAATATCTTGAAGAGGAATATAAACTTTACAGATGTTACAAGATTAAATTCAAAAATGCAATACTTAAAATTTTTGGAAATAAATTCAAATAATATATGAGCAATAGCAACTTATTTTAATAATATAATATAAATATATGTAGAACCGCTTGAGTATGTGAGCAAAACTTTTAAACCAATTGATGCTTATGCATTAAGATTACGTGTTGAGAATTAACATTTTATGAAAGTTCATTAATAGGCTTAAACAAATCACTAGGAATTGAACAAAACAATGCGTGGACATTAAAATTTCATATTCTATGATTAAATGATATGAGGAATCACTTGATGATTTAAATAGACCTTCATAAATATCAAAGATACGTATTAGGCTCGACCTTTTTTAATTTCAAAATAAACTGTGTATGAATATAGCATTTACTATTTACTATTTCACCATGTATTTCATATAACTTACGATTGACAAATAAAATATGATAATTTATGGCCAAATGGTAGAAGTAATAGATTTCCACGGTTAAAGTAGGCATTGTCTTATTTTTATTTATGCTAATATTTAAATTAAAATTTATTTAAGAATCGAATTGATCTCACTGGAATCACTAGAATCACTAGAAGACTGATAAAATCAGGACGTCAGCTTACAGTATATTATATAATTCTTTAACAATTTCGCCAAAAAATTTGATAGTTATTATCTTTTAAAAATTAATTTTTCATATACCCATTAACATTTGAAACAATTTTTAATTTATTTAAATATTTATCAAAAATTGACTTTAATCAAAAAAATACATATTTAAACTTTAAAACTTAAAAACAAAACACAGTAAAATTATTAAAACTATATCTGTATCTTTGATGTTACTAATTTTTTACAATATTAAAAAAAAAATGTTCATTTAAAAAAAATTTTCATTTCATTCTTCGGAACGCCATGTACGCATATCACGATGATTTTCAGCATCAATGACTTTCGCTTTCTGTAAAAATAGAGACGTTTCATATTCTTGTAGAGATAAATGGTTAACTTTGATGTAAAATCAAAAATATCAGAAAAATATTATGATATCTAATAATTACTAAACGATTAAAAATAAAAAAAGTTCATACCATAAGTTGGCAACCCTTTGCCAAAATTTTTAAATGCTAGAATCGCAAATACAAAAGTCACCTGTGATGTAACATTAGAAGTTATTAGTCAAACAGATTAAAAAAAAAAAGATTAATATAATATAAATGGGAAAGAAACTTACTATCGTAACTATAAGAAGAATTACAGCTAAAAAAAAAAAAAAAAATAGTGAATTTATAAAATAAGTGATTTATTGTTATAATAAAACAAAGATATAAAAGAAAAACTTACTAAATAATATCCAAAAAGCCCATCCAATAGCAGCAGCAGAGCTTCCGTGGGCGACAAGTAAATAAAACAAATCTATAGCTAATAAAATCCAAAAGACCATAAATGAAAAAATTCCATTTTTTGATTCTTCAGATACCTATTTTATAAAAAATAATAAAAGTCAATTATGATAATAAAAGAAAATTAAATAAAAAAAACTAACTTACCGCATAAAAGGCTATTGACGCAAATATAAACGACAATATTAAAATTAAGAAATGAACTAAAAATAAATATTTGGTGATTGTTTCAGAATTGCTAGTTAGAGGAAGAATTGCGCCGAGTGATAAAAAGCAATATGAGAATATGAACAGCAAGTTGACTTTTAACAATGTGATAAAGATAATCCTTGTCCTATATGCAGCTATACAAATATTTAAAATGAATAAGTAAATAATAATAATAATAAAGTAAAAAATAAGACGCTTACGATGAAGATTATTATCACTAAAGTTTGCATATTCTATCAAACCAAACTTTTTGTAAAAGAAGTAGGTCAAAGCTGCCATGAAAACAGTAAATACAAAGATCATAGCAAGATGCGGGACTTGAATTCCCGTAAAGGATGAATAAAGATAACTAGAACTAAGTTTTGTGCAAAGTTGTTGTATTTCTGATAGCGATGCATTGGTATCGTTATTTTGAAGCTAGGTAAGTAGGAAGATAGAAAATAGTATAAAAATTAGAGAGATGTTCAAGTAATGATTATTATAGCAGGTGAAAAGAAATAATTTACAATTCCAAATATTCCAGCAATGAAATTCAAAATAGTCGCGGCTATAATACATATTGTGTTTCGATATATAATCTATAATGAAAATAAGTAAACACGTATAAGTATATAAAAATAAGTAAACACGTATAAGTATATAAAAATAAGTAACCACGTATAAGTATATAAAAATAAGTAACCACGTATAAGTATATAATAAAAATATACTAACCGAGTCTATGATAAAATACACTTGAAATGCATGAAAAATTAAGAAAACAGCATTTTCCGAAAAGGGTAGACTTAGTGGAATAAGTATATTATTGAGATAACAAGTTGAGTTAGCTCTGGTTAATTGTATGTTAGGTATTACATATTCTATTAAATTTATATTTTGGACCAAAATTTTTAATTGTAGGCTTTCTAGTATGAGGAACTGTATTATGGCTAACGATGCGAATGCGGCCGTAACTCTCGTTGATTTGATCACTTTCCACTGTATATATATTTAAATTAAAAATGATTATTAATGAATACAAAAAACTAGGTTATAAAATGATTAAATAATATTTTTGAAAATATTTTAATAATATAAAACCAATTATTACTGTACATATTATCACAGTGCATATCGATATGTAAAATTATATTATATACAAAATATATACAGTATATATATTTTTCATTCATGAAAAAAAATATCATAAACGTGCAAATAATAATAGTTATGGAGCAATAGAAACACGAATATACAGGAAAGTAAATTACCTTCTTTTTAAGATTTGTAAAAGGCATTATAATTAACGTTAAAATTTTTTTATTTCGAAAAAAAATTCAATTTTTGACAAAAAGTGAAAAGTTTAACACGGGTTTTGGAATTTTAGTCAAAATTGGGCGTACATATACGCCAAAAAAATTTCGGGTTTTTTGATGACGTCCTAAAAGGAAACAATTTTCAAATTTGACAGAAACAGGATTAATTCTCATCAAAAAATCAACTAAAAATATAAATTTAACGTTTACGGTTATTAAAAAAACTTGATAGGTACGTACGTACGTACTTGGCAACTTGGCAAAATGACAATTTATCACGTACGTACGTATCGGTATGTGTTTTATGATAATTAATACTGATAGACGTATAAACTTGATCGTAAATTGTATTTAAAGTTTTGATCAACTCAAAACATGTTAATCTTCTACAAGCGTTTCTAGTAAATTCAACAAATACGTTAATATCCAGTATTTAACCAAGTAATAACGTCAATCTTTTATATCATATCAGAGACAGATACTGAATTAATAAATTACATAAATATGATCGGTGTTGTTTTTAAGCACAGCCTAATTTAAACAAGTGCAGGTTATGATGCATAATCATCAGTATTTCTATTTAAAAAATTCATAGCGATCAAACTTTGTTAGCTCAGCAATTTTAGTCAAATATAGAAATTTAAGGGGCTAGATATTGTATGTATGTAGCTAAGAATATTTTTAAACTTTACAACACTCGCCATTTATAATAATAGCAACTATAGTATCAATTAACGTTAAACCTTGGATTAAAGATAAAAGTTTCCTAGTGACCGATAAAGTTAGTTTGCGAATAAATATGGTAAAGTATTTAAGATTAAATGAAGTGTTTGTATAAATAAATAACAAACGAGAAATACCTAACCATAAATAGAAAATTTATATCTTGGTCCCTTACTGTTGTATCGAGTATTTTTTATAATTAGAGCTCCAATCCATTAAGCATTTATCCGGATAACTATCAGATATCCGAATTTGAATTTATTCAAATATCTATTTACTATTCATTTACTATTGATATCCGAATAATTATCCGGATATCTGAGCGATCTTAATTATTTGGATAAACGGATAACGGATTTATCAGGATTAGAACTCTAATAATAAAGTTCATTTTGGCATGATCATTTTATTCGCTTCTGTCAACTTTGTATATTCATTTTTTCATACCCAGAATCGTCATGTTGATCGCTTGTTAATCGACAGATCGATTATTAATAGATTTTCCTAAGCTGCGCTAATGGAAATGTATGACAATGATTAGCTTATTACGCAATATCTGTTACACATTCTAAACACAGAATCATTATGAAGCTGGGCAGGCAGATTTTTATATACCACAATAGGTTCCCTCGCGTAACGCCAAATAAATATTTGTAGTTTTGATGAATGAAGGTGTTTCATTCGATTTGGTCAAGGCGGATAATTATCTCCTTGTCTTTTAATCATATTTCACTTTTATTATAATCTTTATAATCTTTATAATCTTTATAATCTTTATAATCTTTATAATCTTTATAATCTTTATAATCTTTATAATCTTTATA